AAGTAAAGAAAAAGGTTGGTTAGTCAACCAAAGGAGCGAAAAATCGGTACTCGACACCTTCAGTCCGCACCGAACTCTATTTGAAGGGTGGCATAGTAAGGTTCTCTTACTTGATAATCGCCGTAGGCTACATTACAAATTGCTTAGCTGTGGTAGTCCGTGATCAGTGCTGACTCTCTGGCTCAACTGTTCTTCACCTGTCAAGATTTGCGTGCTCGAACATGACAGTTTGCCCCCCACGCTCTTAGTCAGTCCACTGCAGGGCCGCCCGCAATGTCCTCTTGTCTATTTTGTTGCCGTCTGAGTCTTGGCTCTAGCTTCACGAGAACTCGGAATCAATCAGTATGCAGCCTCTCCCCGACTGGCCGCAGGCGACAGAGGACAGACCGCCGGGGTCCTGTAGTCCCGCATTCGCGCACAGACAACAAAAACTGACCTGGGGAGACTGCCTGCAACACTTTTCTTTAGAGCACTTTTGTAAGCCCTTACTCACAGTAAGCCTTGTCCAACCTTATCGGTTATCACCGAACTTTTATTTTGGAAGTCTTATGTTGTCGAATTCGCCACCTTTCAACAAACATGCTGGTCTATTTGGCAACCTGTCGGTACATTTGGCTGTTACTTTCCATTGGACTTTTAATCATGACGTTTAACGAGAACTTCGTTTAAGATCAATAGATATTCTCGACAAATGCTCCTAAGATTAGTTGGAATAACTGATTATATAGGCAACGTAATCGCAAGTTCATTTTTAACTGGTATCGAACTAGTTTTGGCTGAAAATGTTAAAGTCACACTAACCGATTCAGCTGGCGGCAGAGCTGGTGTTGACGCGCAAGCAGGCAGGCAGCGAGCCATGAGTCCCGTGAGATCTATCCGATGCATACCTCCAAACTGAGTTTGACGAAGGCTCCCGGGTGCTTCTAATCATTAACACTCACCGCGGTCTATTCCACTCGATCCGTCTACCATTGAGGGTTAAGACTGTTTTCGCCATCTTCCAGCAAACCATGGACACCATTTTGACGGGCACTGAAGGAGCCGCTGCCTATCTGGGTGATTTTATCGTGACGGAGTGAGTGAGCCTCAAGGAGGACCAATCCTCGAGTCTTGTCAGTCTGGTTTATTTGAATAGCTCGATTTTTTTCAGCTCACTTGTACGATACAGTGTATAAGAGGGTTGGCGATCAAGTAGGCTCTGAGCTTTGTCCTGACAGTCGATTTTTACGCACTACCGTTGAAAAACCCTTGTCGGCTGACAGGACCAATATATCCGTATTAACTTTTAGCCATTCTAGTGGTCGCTGTTCTTCTTTGCTAGAGGTTTAGCGTAAGCAAAGAGGCATGCTGGCGGATAAATTCCTTAGTCGTCTCCGAAGTTAGTTGACAAAAAGATTTAAATGCAGCTACCAATTCTGTGGGTGCGTCGTGTCCCCTACCAATTAATATCTGAACTTACTTGCAGCCAAACGAGCTTCTGAAGAACACTGGCGAAAAAAAGCATTCTGGCGAATGTGGCAGTTGTTAACGCCGTCGTGACAGCTGCACGCTGTCCGAGTGCTCCTCAAAAATCTGGTAGCGGATTGGATGGGTGACATACATAAGACGGCTTTCCGATTGGCAGAATAAGCCTTGAATAAGGTCTTCATTGGTTGGTTTCAAAGGCGGCCATGGAGAATACCTTTGCGCTCATTGGTTATTCTGATCGACGTTCGCACTATGACCAAAGGCGTGCCACGCGCTGACCATTTCCGCGCACGCAGAGTCATGCAGAGGCCGGCCGTCTTATTTTCTAAGGTACGTCGTCTATGCCGCTTTATTTTCCTTCGGTCCTGTAGCTCTTTATTGGTAATGAATTCGTCGAAAGTCGTGCGGGGAAGACGTTCCCCGTGATTGACCCATCCACCGAGGCCGTTATCTGTCAAGTGCAAGAAGCCAACGCCGAGGATGTTGACACTGCTGTGCAATCTGCCCGTAAAGCTTTCGCCCTGAACTCTCCATGGCGCACTATGGACGCGTCCCAGCGCGGCAGACTACTTTATCAACTGTCTGATGAAATTGAGAAGAACATCGACTATCTGACGGTAGGATCATTAAAAATTAAAGGCATTTTTTGCTCGTATCACTAGGAATATTTCTGATCTTTTTTAAATGTCATTGTGGGACTCATGGAGACTGTCAGTCATTTAAATTCAAGTCTGAACTACCATTAACAAACTGCCCCCAAGAATAAGCTTTTCCTTAGGCCGAATAAATAATGCACTGCAAATATTGTTAACAATCGACATGAGGAACCTTGGATCGTTTAAACCTTCGAGTATAAGACCTTTTTACGTCAAGTTTTCGGTTTATGGAGATCTTTCAACCCACGAAGCTTATATAGCAATTCCAAATCTGAGGGTATCCATATCGAGCTCAGACACCTTCACCGACTAACAATGTAAAGGTGCAGCTTATTTCAAATTTGTGTTCGGATTGCCGATGCGCTGACTTAGTGGAATTGAACTACAGGTTGCAATGCCTCGGCCAGATGATGGTCGTCCGCATTCCGCCCGTGAAGTTAAATATCACAGTCGTGACCTGGAGGGCTGGTAACGGCTGGTTATCACGGACAGCAGCTTTTGAGATAGCCTAATCTTTATTGGTTGTTTGTTGCTTCACCCTGTTTTGCCACTATCCGATGTTGTTCGGATTACCGGTGTCCTCATTCATTTAACTGGAATGCGATGAAGGCCCCGCTTGAAAAGGGCGGCGATGAGACACTGAAATTGGAGCCCACAGGTCTTGCGCTAAATTTCGGGAAGATTATGGTTTGGGTTACGTTTCAGATTG